TAAGAAACGCCGGTCAACGTGGACGGGGATATCCAATCGCAAGTCTGTGATTTTGATCAACTTATGTTTTCATTGGTTATTCGGCACGCGTCTATGTGTCATCGCCGTGCTGAGTGAGCACATATCGACAATGTTTGTTTATCCAGTGTTGTATTCACATTACTGTTTGGATTTTTGGTTTATAAAGAAATGGCTTTTTGGAGGCCTTTTGAAAGTGATGAAAATAATATAATCCCTATAAGTATGTAAATAATTATTATTCTGTTTGATTATTTTTTAAATAAATAGGATCAGTTGCATCTGAAAAACAACTAAACAGTTCAAAGTTGACTTTGGTAGTTTACATTATTGTTTACCTATACAGGGTGATTCACAAAGAAAAGGTTATATTTTACCAGAAAATTCTATAGTGGAAAATGTTAATTTTTGTTTAATAACTGGGGATCAAATATTAATACATACTGAGAAAATGTAAAAACTGCACGAGAACACTTTATTTAAAAGAGTAACAAGCTAAATAAATTTATATTAATTAATTACTACTAAATAGATGAGACTTTATTAAGAATACCATTTATGGTGCAATTAAATGAAACAAACCATTGGCTATTATATATATGATAAATTTTAGTAATATATTTTTAAAATTTTTGCTGATCCTGTAAACATAGGGCAAATGCATTTTGCCACACTAAAATTTAATTTTTTCGTGTTATTATTAAGAATATTTTTATTCAGATTTTTATTAATACACTAGCTGTTGCCCGCTGCCTTGCTCGCGACTTTGCTCGCATGTAGTCGTGTTATTATTATAAAAAAATACATTACTTTCTTTTTTATTAGGTAATTTTATTAGTTTTATTGATTTTTATTTATTTATATTTATTTTTATTCATTTTTATTCATTTTTATTCATTTTTATTCATTTTTATTCATTTTTATTCATTTTTATTCATTTTTATTCATTTTTATTCATTTTTATTCATTTTTATTCATTTTTATTCATTTTTATTCATTTTTATTCATTTTTATTCATTTTTATTCATTTTTATTCATTTTTATTCATTTTTATTCATTTTTATTCATTTTTATTCATTTTTATTCATTTTTATTCATTTTTATTCATTTTTATTCATTTTTATTCATTTTTATTCATTTTTATTCATTTTTATTCATTTTTATTCATTTTTATTCATTTTTATTCATTTTTATTCATTTTTATTCATTTTTATTCATTTTTATTCATTTTTATTCATTTTTATTCATTTTTATTCATTTTTATTCATTTTTATTCATTTTTATTCATTTTTATTCATTTTTATTCATTTTTATTCATTTTTATTCATTTTTATTTATTTTTATTCATTTTTATTCATTTTTATTCATTTTTATTCATTTTTATTCATTTTTATTCATTTTTATTCATTTTTATTCATTTTTATTCATTTTTATTCATTTTTATTCATTTTTATTCATTTTTATTCATTTTTATTCATTTTTATTCATTTTTATTCATTTTTATTCATTTTTATTCATTTTTATTCATTTTTATTCATTTTTATTCATTTTTATTCATTTTTATTCATTTTTATTCATTTTTATTCATTTTTATTCATTTTTATTCATTTTTATTCATTTTTATTCATTTTTATTCATTTTTATTCATTTTTATTCATTTTTATTCATTTTTATTCATTTTTATTCATTTTTATTCATTTTTATTCATTTTTATTCATTTTTATTCATTTTTATTCATTTTTATTCATTTTTATTCATTTTTATTCATTTTTATTCATTTTTATTTATTTTTATTCATTTTTATTCATTTTTATTCATTTTTATTCATTTTTATTCATTTTTATTCATTTTTATTCATTTTTATTCATTTTTATTCATTTTTATTCATTTTTATTCATTTTTATTCATTTTTATTCATTTTTATTCATTTTTATTCATTTTTATTCTTTTTTTTTTTTTTTTCATTTTTATTCATTTTTATTCATGTTTATTCATGTTTATTCATTTTTATTCATTTTTATTCATTTTTATTCATTTTTATTCATTTTTATTCATTTTTATTCATTTTTATTCATTTTTATTCATTTTTATTCATTTTTATTCATTTTATTCATTTTTATTCATTTTTATTCATTTTTATTCATTTTTATTCATTTTTATTCATTTTTATTCATTTTTATTCATTTTTTATTCATTTTTATTCATTTTTATTCATTTTTATTCATTTTTATTCATTTTTATTCATTTTTATTCATTTTTATTCATTTTTATTCATTTTTATTCATTTTTATTCATTTTTATTCATTTTTATTCATTTTTATTCATTTTTATTCATTTTTATTCATTTTTATTCATTTTTATTCATTTTTATTCATTTTTATTCATTTTTATTCATTTTTATTCATTTTTATTCATTTTTATTCATTTTTATTCATTTTTATTCATTTTTATTCATTTTTATTCATTTTTATTCATTTTTATTCATTTTTATTCATTTTTATTCATTTTTATTCATTTTTATTGATTTTTATTAATTTTTATTCATTTTTATTCATTTTTATTCATTTTTATTCATTTTTATTCATTTTTATTCATTTTTATTCATTTTTATTCATTTTTATTCATTTTTATTCATTTTTATTCATTTTTATTCATTTTTATTCATTTTTATTCATTTTTATTCATTTTTATTCATTTTTATTCATTTTTATTCATTTTTATTCATTTTTATTCATTTTTATTCATTTTTATTCATTTTTATTCATTTTTATTCATTTTTATTCATTTTTATTCATTTTTATTCATTTTTATTCATTTTTATTCATTTTTATTCATTTTTATTCATTTTTATTCATTTTTATTCATTTTTATTCATTTTTATTCATTTTTATTCATTTTTATTCATTTTTATTCATTTTTATTCATTTTTATTCATTTTTATTCTTTTTTTTTTTTTCATTTTTATTCATTTTTATTCATTTTTATTCATGTTTATTCATGTTTATTCATTTTTATTCATTTTTATTCATTTTTATTCATTTTTATTCATTTTTATTCATTTTTATTCATTTTTATTCATTTTTATTCATTTTTATTCATTTTTATTCATTTTTATTCATTTTTATTCATTTTTATTCATTTTATTCATTTTATTCATTTTTATTCATTTTTATTCATTTTTATTCATTTTTATTCATTTTTATTCATTTTTATTCATTTTTATTCATTTTTATTCATTTTTATTCATTTTTATTCATTTTTATTCATTTTTATTCATTTTTATTCATTTTTATTCATTTTTATTCATTTTTATTCATTTTTATTCATTTTTATTCATTTTTATTCATTTTTATTCATTTTTATTCATTTTTATTCATTTTTATTCATTTTTATTCATTTTTATTCATTTTTATTCATTTTTATTCATTTTTATTCATTTTTATTCATTTTTATTCATTTTTATTCATTTTTATTTATTTTTATTCATTTTTATTCATTTTTATTCATTTTTATTCATTTTTATTCATTTTTATTTATTTTTATTCATTTTTATTCATTTTTATTCATTTTTATTCATTTTTATTCATTTTTATTCATTTTTATTCATTTTTATTCATTTTTATTCATTTTTATTCATTTTTAATCATTTATATTGAAAACTAAGTGGGCGGTTATAACTAACGCAACCCGAATACTGTGATTGGTGGATTTCATTTTTTTGCAGTGTTCTCACTACCTAGAATGGATATGAAATATATTCGTTCAGTTGAACGCAATGACATACTTTTTCGTTTTGTAGTCTGTGCGTAGATAAGCTAATATCCATGTGGGTGTAGAAAAAATAACAGTTTAAACAGATGGTTAAAGGCTTCAAACTTTCAAGAAAACTAAGTTGGCGGTTGCCCACCTCATTTTTCCCGCACAGTGAGAGATTATTTAAAGAAACAATAAAATGAAAGATGGATTGGCAGAAGTCGGGATGCTCCTATTCAGTGGCCACCTCGATCACCCGACTGTAATGCTTGTGAATATGTTATTTAGGGTCACTTGAAAAGCAAAGTTTATGAAGTTCCTATCGACAACATTGAACAATTATGGGGTAGGATTCAAAATGTTGTAAACTCTATGCGAAATGATCTATGTATTTTGAGAAGGGTACACTTCAATTTCTTACGCTGAATTGAAATCTGCATGAACGAAGGAGGTGGCCATATTAAATATTTATTGTAAAAAAAATATCCTTCTCTTTGAATTGTTATTTTTCAGTAGTTACGTATGTCTATTGATGATTTTTTTTATTGTTAACATCGACAGTGTTCGGGTTGCGATAGTCATAACCGCACACTTAGTTTTTTTGAAAATTTTAAGTCACTAACCATCAGTCCATATAAAATTGTTTACTCAAAAATGAGAGATACATAGGTATATTTTGCAAGAAAAAAAATTAGGGAACAGGGGCGGCCCTGAAAAAAAATATAATGTCATTTATGGTAGGATTAGGGTGGTTTTTTTTTACCCTTCCGTGATTTCAGTTGGTATAATTTTTGCTTTGAACAATAGCTGTTCAAATAAAATAGCTACATACCAAATTTTATAAAAATCAAACGAATCGTTTTGAGTTATTAAAAAAATTGAAAATTTTCTTTCAACTTTGAAGCTTCCTCACAGGCAAACGAAGCATTTTGTGATATAGGTGAATTTGACTCAATCGACTTATTTTGATCTCACCAACATAAAGTAGCTTTATGTATACGCAATATGCTATATTTCCTTTCTTTTTTTAATTATACAGAACGTGATTTCAATTCGTGCTCTCAATGGCCAAAACGAATATACTATATTTCTATAATTTAATACTTCTAAGAACTCGGTGCAATACGATTTAATAAATAAAATTACATATACTTTTATGATAGATAACCTGTGAACGTATAAAAAATTGCATCTCAGCTCAATTACTAATTTAGCTCCTTTATTTTTAGCACTATTAGAGTACAACATCACCATACTTGGCAATGCCACAAGCGCTAATAGTTACTGTAAAATTAACTTAATTGATAAGGAAAATTATATAGTTTCCTCCAATGAAGACGCTGGAAATTGTAATGGAATTTTAAAAGTGAAAAATCCTAAATTGTGGTGGCCTTACTTGATGGACGATGATCCAGGATATCAGTATACATTCCAGGTATTATTTTTAAATTATAACATTATTAAAACGTTTTTAATAATTATTACATTTAAAGTTTTTCATTTATAAAATTGATGTCTACCAATTTTATTAGGTACTCTATAGTGCGGTGCCCATTATTTTCTTCTACAATAGACCTAAAATTAGGCACGGTGGACAAGGACAAAGGTCCAACTCCATTTAAATCCAGCCTAATCTAGCTTAAATTAGTAACGAAAAAAAATCAGAATATTATATAGTGCTCACCTTAATTTGCCTACCAAAAATTTAGGAAGTAAGAGGCAAAACATGGAAATATGAATAATAAATATTATTCAGTAAAAGTTTTCGTCCTTTAAATGTATTTGAGAGTGTGAGGTTAGTGGGAAGAGGACGTGCCAAAAGGAAACATTAACTTCTTAATTTGCCGACGTTTCGACGTTTCGACGTTTATTTTTCGTCTTTTTCAAGGCTGAAAATACATAATAGGTTTTAATAAAAAATAGTAAAAACTATGAGATTCACATAGGTGTCAATATTATAAATGGTATATAGGTATATATTCAACGTAAATGGTTATTGTTATTTCAATAAAACAATCATTGTTAGCATGAGAGAATTAACAAATCAATATAAACATAAAAATAAGGAGAAATAAAAACTAAAAACCTTACCTTATTAAATTAATTAATGCAAGGCACATGGCTTATGTGGAATTTTCCGAAACAGTTAAAACAGTTTTAACAATACATAAATAAAATCTAATACTAAAAGTAACATTTACACACAGATATCTTAAAATGATGATAAAATTAATCAAAATATTGTAGCAGTTAAAATTGTAGGTGAACGAATTTGTATGTTTTTTATTTAATAGTACGGTCGGTATAGTTAGTATTTTAACGGCTTATTGTTTTAGTCCGGTTCAATTTTGGACTTGTATATATTGAGTAGGTTACGATAGCAAATACTTAAATTGGCAGTATCCGTTCTTAAATTTACTGTGTCGTTTAGAGATATGTGTATCATTTCACTAATTGTTCTTTTGTTGGATTTGTTGGATTCTTTGTGACAGGCTTCTGGTTCACCTACAGCGAATCAGCGAGTCTGTGTGGCGCTATGATGATGATTCCCGAATAGGGGTTGCTCAGGCGCCAGTTTTGGTATCGCAGTTTGCTCTGCGACCCTGTAGTACACCAGAGTGTACTCAAGGTAAACTCAGCGGAGGTAAAAATAATTCCAGGCGGTCACTGCTAGGTAGCCACTATACTAGAATAAATAAAAATAAAACACTTATCTCCTTTACACCTCGTACCCTACGGTACCCTGAAAGAGAACGGTTAAGAACCAGCAATAAGAGAAACACAGGAATAGGTAATAAAATATATATTTACAAAAAAAAAATACAACGGTGGTAGTGCACGGTTCTGGCAAGGCTGTAAACGGAAAATTAAATAAAATGAATGATTATTATTAAACGAGATTTCAAGAAAGTAATTACGGATCCCTATATACAGAAAAAAAATAATTAAAAGTAAATTATTACAATTGAAGCTAGTTAAATAATAATGGCTCCCTGTATTCGGAAAATTTATTAAAAATAAAATATTACAATTGAAAACTAATTAAATATTAACGGCTCCCTGTATTCCGAAAATGTATTAAAAATAAATTACTACAAATGAAAACTAAGTAAATATTAACGGCTCCCTGTATTCGGAAAATTTATTAAAAAAAATTATTGCTAATGAAAACTAAGAAAATATTAACGGCTCCCTGTATTCGGAAAATTTATTAAAAATAAATTATTAACATATGACGGTAATAAAATGTAGGAAAATAAATGAAATTAAAGTTCGTATTACCTTTTACTAGTACGGGAAAATATTTAAATCGGAAATTACGTACAACCCGGTATATGGAAGGTATGTTTTTCCAAATACACGAAATTAAATTAAATGTTCTGGTCAAAATAATAAAACGAAAAGAACGGTAATTATTATAACGGAGTAATTAATTTTTAATCAAACGGCTGACCAACTAAGAAGTTCATAAAAATAAAAGAAAACGGGTTGTATACGGAAAATGAAGTTTACTATTACCACAGTTAACCCACCTACAATGTAAGTTCAGAAAAGGAAAACCTACTATAAAATGGAACCCCTTGTATATTGGTCTCGAGCGATCGGCAATGGCAATTTTCGTCGAGTGAGAATGATATGAATTTACGCGGTGTTTGGACAGCGAAGGCGATGGTGATAGAAAAGATTATTTTGAGATTTGCCAAAGTCGATCAAAACGGTGTGTGAATTAATTTTACAGAAAACGTCGGCCTTCGTTCAATAGTTAGTTGTGGATGGGGAACGGAATGATTCAAATGCTATTGAATGAATAAATAAAAGAAAAGAAACTTACATGAAATAAAAAATACTGGGCGCTTCTTAAAAGAGATTGCCAGCGGTTTCCCACTAAGGGATGAAATGAAATATCCTGGGTATGAATCAAAAAATTTTCACTTGTCGGACGGGTGCTTCAAACTAATTGTAAATAAAAAATAATTTGTAGTTTCCTACCTTAGAAAAATAAACGGGGTTGTTCAGCAGTCTAACAATATCACGGTCACTCACTAGTCGGTGGAGAAGAGAGAAGAGCTTACGGTTGCCGGAAATCAATAGAGAGTAATTCTCAGTTGTTATCGAATTTATCCTTTTTCGCTGGGCAAGCTTGAAGACCGGTAAGCCCGAGTGGGGGATAACACACCTAAAGCCGACTGTTTACAATTTAAAAATAAAAAAAAATGTCCTAGTACCTTGACAAATAAAAGTAGATAATTGGTACGAAATCGACTCTACAAAATGCCCATTCGAATTTCGGCAAATATAGGAATATTTTAATTTACGAGGGTACTCGCAATTGTTGAAAAACGGTAATTCCTGGGAAACAGAAATACGGGGGATCTTCTACATGTCCTCAGGCGGGAATTAATTGAAATATACATTTTTTAAATTAATTAAAAATAAAATTTAGTGACTTCGTCACATCTTTATCAACAATTTTAACGTTGTCAAAGTCAAATTTGTGCGATTGATTAAAAACCTTATTTTCATTTTTTTCCCGACAGTCATATTTGTGTTGGTATATTCTGTTTTTGAGATATTGTTTTGTAATACCAATGTAGCATTTTTCACAGCCTTTCCAGTTAATTTTGTACACTACATTGGATTTTAATTGATCGGGCGTTTCATCTTTTAAATTTGAAAATAAGGATCTACACTGTTAATAAGGTAAAACGCTAACATTGTGTTTTCACAACCCTTTGTAATTAAAAAATGTCTAAAAGATGTTTTGAAATTACAAAGGGCACGTCCTCTTCCCACTAACCTCACACTCACAAATAATAAATATCTTTATAAATTACAGGTTGAAGTGACTTTCAAAGGCGTACTTGTCGATAAATATTCTCTTCCTATTGGTATCAGAACTATCTCATGGACAAACAGTTCTTTGCTAATAAACAACAAGCCTATATATTTACACGGCTTTGGAAGACATGAAGATTCGGATATTAGGGGCAAAGGTCTGGATCTACCGTTGGTCATCAGAGACCATAACTTAATCAAGTGGATAGGAGCCAACGCTTATCGTACTTCCCATTATCCATACGCAGAAGAAATAATGGATATTGCCGATGAGTTAGGGATAATGATTATAGATGAGTGCCCAAGCGTAAACACCGAGTAAGTACAAATTTGCTTCTTTAAATAATAATGAATAATTGGACTTTCAAGTTTAAACAAAAAATAACAAAGTTTTAAAATAGCAACTTTCTTTTCTCTTAATTAAAGTATATAGTATCGTATGATTTAAGGTTAGGTTCACAAAAGTGTACCCCGTCCTGGAAAATGCCCATGAGAGGCGGTAATAAAATTAATACCATAAAAAAAATAGTCAACAACATTTTATAATTGTTTAATCTTTCTGTATGATATCCGAAGTACACACTTTTATTTATGTGATGTTGTAGTTGTTTAGGACACACCAAAATATACAGGGTATATTGTAAAATAGCGACTATCATTGGATCGACATTTTGGCTCACTCCGTATAATTGTATATGATTATAATGAAAAACTGTCTTATATAATCATATTCACTCCGTGCGAAGTCATGGAAAGGGAAGCAAAAGCGATACTAGCGCTAGCTGCGGATAATTCGTACATTTTAGGGCGATATTTTGTAATTTTTGCATATCAAATACACGTATACATTTTACTTTTTTTTCAAAAAAAGTAGGTAAAAACAATACAATAAGCAACCGGGGTTGCTGTGTTGAAAATTGTACAAATACTAGCAAAAAAAAAAGTGAAACTTATATAAAAAATTTCAGTAGAAAAGTAGAAATTAAATCAAAGAAATAAATGGATAGGTATATAATAAGAATAAAAATTACCTTTATTTTTGTAATAATAACAGTAATGCTGGAAATAGTAGACATCAGAAACTTGAAAGGTTTTAAATAAACAACAAATTATCATTTACGATGTTCTTTGATATCCCTTTATTCTTAAATGTTTATTCAGCAAGGACTAGATTTCAAGATTTATGCCTTTGATTATTATATGTGGCTGGTATGCAATTTTGTGACTTACTGATGGGAACCAGTTTTAATCATTCATTCTATGTTTTCTTTAGTAAACAAAAATGAAAATATAAATAACGATCCTTTTTTTATACATTTTAATTTCACGCTATTATTAAATGGTGTTTTTTTATTTTGACAGAATTAGGCATTCCAAACTGAATGGCTACCAGTGGGTTTTGACGGATTATGATATGGCAAAATTATGGCAACCCTGTAGGCCTGGCGATTTGACAAGGTCAATGAAATAGATAGTTACATAGATTGATCATCCATATTTTTCAAAATAAACATAAGCTTATGCCTTGAAGTAAAAATGTAAGCAATTATTTTTTTTTAATATCTAAAGGCTAAAAATTGGTTTTAAAACACATTTTTGCTAAACCGATTCAAATTAATAAATATTTGCCAGGCAATATGGCCGCTCATTAACGACCAGCTTTGAGCAATCTATATAACTATATATGTATCATTGACCCTGTTAATGACAGCATGACAACAGGGTTGCCATATCTAAACTGTCATTACCCACTGCTAGCCATTTGGACAGGTCGTTGGAATGCCTAATAGGCTAATTCTTCAATGACAACTTATTAGACTTTAGGCAACTTCTCATACATTTTCCAGTAAATACTGTTGCCTGCCTATATTTTATTATCGATTTTTATTGATTATACAATTTATACATAATTTTCTTAAATTTAAGCGATAAAAATATATAATAATAATAAATTAATGTTTTACTTGTTTTACAAATCCATATACTTTTATTAAAACTAACATATATACTTTTTAATTACGAATTCTATTAAAAATTGTATTTGTCAGTATCTACTTACTCTGAGGTCAGTATACGCAGAAATAGTCCATTAGTACCAAAACGAATTGGCGCTGCTGTCGCGCACGGAGCGAATAGGTATAAATAGTTCATTTATTATCATTATTTCATTCGTTAAAGTTTTTAAATCTTGTGGTTTTTCTTTAAAAATTATTGTTTTCCAAAAAGGTTGGATTGCATTTTCATAGTCGCAAATATTTTAGAAAATCAAACCGTAACTTTAATAATTTATTAATATTAGCAAAATTAAAAGGTTTACAACTTAAAATTGTCTTGAAAATAATGATATTTTAGAGGCTTTCAAAAACTAGTCATAGAAGGATATCGTGCCTGTGAATACTTTTAATAAAGATGTCAAAACCTACAACATAGAAGGCCTGACAATTAAATTATAGGACTCGTGTGAAACATGAACTTTATTTTTACAATAATGCACATTATTTTTTGTACTACTCTTCCTATATACACAGCATTGCATTCGTTTTTCCCATTAGGGGAAAGGTAATACATTCTGCTACTTATCCGATTAAATTTCATAATTTTAAAAATCAGAAACCAATTAAAAACCATACATGATTTTTTTAAAATAGACCGTATTCGAGATATTTGAGGAAAAGTGCAAATTTCGAATTTTGAAGATAACTTCAAAAACGGATAAAGGTAAAAACACCAAATTTTAAACTTAAGCTTTAATCTATCCTACGGTGAGCTGATTAAATTTTGGACACAGTCGAAGCATCTGGGGAATACTTTACAGGGTGTAGTTTTATTTATTTTAAGAAAATAAATAATATTAATAATTAATAATATTTTCTTAGGCAACCCATTTGCGGTACCTATATTTATAAACATATTTTATTTAATAAAAAAAACTTTCATCCGTTAAACAGATGGGTGAACAGATGGGTGAAGGTCTATCTTACTTCGAATCTTAGACTAATAAAAGTTGCTACCTCTACCTTCGCAACAGTAGAGTTACTTGACTAGTTTTCAATCAGGAATATTCAAATCCCTTAAAACTCTTTTCAAGGCAGTAAAAAAATTAAACAATTAGAATTAATATCGCACAAAATGGAGCAATGGCTATACCAACTTACGCACGCTTACGTTACTCTGAATCTTCTCGACGAACGCAACGAGCCAACTTTGTGTAAAGCCATCTATGAATGTTGAACACTACTATAATACGAGTAAGCATTTCCCTATATAAAGATCCCCTAATCTGGTGCACCGCTTGGGCCAGCTGCTCTCATCGTCTAACTTTCCGCAGCTTTCTAAAAAGTAACGCCAATACTCGTAGTGTTTGGGCTGCATTTTTGCCAGTTGGCGAGCTTTGTTTAGTCTGACGAATACGTAATCTGATTCGTTTTTGATTTTTTAAATTATTAGTTGGTGTTAATTCTCCATTTTACGTGAAGGACATGGATGTAGTTTATGAGTTAATAAGTCAAAAGAGAGTGTAAATTTGCTGCTAAAAGTTGTCAAATAATATTTTTGGGGTGGGGAAGGCAAAATCTTGTAAAACACCCAAATATTGTGAAAACTTTGTTTATAAGTGTATTTACCCAGACAGCACGAATAGTCAAATGGACGCCCATTTTAGATCCATTTGAAGCTTAAGAAAGCCTATAACCGTATCCAGACATTCAGTGTGAGTCTATGAACATTAATTTGACATCTGCGTATTACAGTCGACGTCCGTTTTCGGACATAATTACTTCATATTTTTGAAATACTTAGGTAGGTAATATATAACTCTTAAATACTAATTTTTAAATCTGAATAATTAAAATTTTCTCCTCGTTTCCTCTCGTGTCCCCTTCCCCATGTTTCCACGTCCCAACACAAGCATAAATATATAAACTGTGCATTAAAGAAATCAGCGATCGTCTGTGTACTGTGAAAACTATTGTATCGCCACCGGTCGTCTTAAGAGTTTTTAGGCAGATAGGGGCGGTAACCACTATAAAAGAGACTTCCTATTAGAGGGCAAAAGGGGTACACTGTTAACCTAAACGTTGTTTCTCTTATTATATTCCTTTACTTAATACTTTGGTGCACAGTGTCCAAAACAACAAACCACTCTTTAGTATTACTTATATCTTTATAAAATGAACCACTTTTTGATTTTCAGAATTTTCTCGGATAGCCTCTTAGCGAAACACAAAATTTCTTTGACGGAATTAATCAAAAGGGACAAAAATCGTCCAGGAGTGATAATGTGGAGCGCTGCTAATGAGCCTAGGACCCAGTATCCAGCTGCTAAACTATATTTTAAGTAAGTTGTATATATGTATGTAATAAAACACGATATTTTCATCAAATTCCCAAAATTAAACACAAAACAAGTAAATTCGACATTACGTTGAGGAAGCCGAACTATAAGTGTCCCCATATTTTTCAGGCTGTATTGCCCTAGGAACTTAATACATAATTCTAACATAACAAATATGACTCTAATGGCTAATAAATAAGACACTTTAATGTCTTCGCCATCATGCGTCAATCCGTTAAGAGACAGGTACTTGCTTCGGTCTATATAATTCGACTAAATACCATCGATCCATCGCTATCAAATTTGAAATTCTTACACGGTCAACCTGACCATTAATTCGTTCTCGAATTAATTCAGAAATCATTACGCTGTTTTCCTGCAACAAAAAAGAAAAACGAAAACAGAACCTCTTCGAAATTTTCAAAAAAAAATCACATTATTAAAAGTTTTCCGATGACAAATAAGCACTCGTGGACAGTAAATCTATTCGGTACTAAGTAACAAACAAATTTTAAATGGTGATGGTGTTTTATCCTTTATCATTTCGGTGTGGCTTTCCACAAAACAATAACATATTACGGATGGCGTTATAACAACGAAACGAAGCTTTCCAATAAACCATGTTTGTATGTTTGTAAAGCGTAACTTTATTTTACATTTATTGTAGAGAATAAATTATTATTCGTAGTAGTAGCTTTCAACAAATTGAAATTGCAAAACGCATCGCTGTTTCTATCATATCGCAGATTTCCCAGATTTCGCAGATTTTGCAAATTTTGCAAATTTAAAGGATAGTGCTACAGAATATCGACCAGATGGACTTCGGCTAACATTATCAAAGAATATTTTCTAGCAAATGAGATCGTCATCATTTGGCAATGGTTAAGAAAAATCATCTAATTGAAACATTTTCTCTACTATTGAATCTAAGCATGTGTAATATCTATTTGGACGAGTATACGAAATATTATTAAAAGATCAAACGACTTGCCTCTAAGGAAGTTAATTCTAAATTATATGAGTTTACTCGTCCAAATAGATAGGTCCCAAACTCATGTGACAGACACACCCACCCTACAGATTCCATTGTTTTTTTCTCCTTTTATACTTATTTTCTTTTTATACAAAAAATGTAATGAAATAAATACGTAGAGTCGAGGCAGGTAAGTATCGGCTGATAAGAGAGTGGTTATTTGTCTAATTTTTTGATGAAGTGTAATAATGGTAACTTGTAACGTGTGAAGGGTAGGTTGCCCCCATGACACTTAGGCCTCACTAGGCCCATTGTGCATCCTCATAAGATGATAGGCACCTCCTAGCTCGTGAGCCAGCCTACAGATTTAATGTAGTAGACAACGTCGCCAAGAGGTGCTTCTCTTATATCGGCCGGTGTTAGCCGATACTGGCCGAACACAAATCTTCTAATAAATGAGAGCGTCAAGCAATCGTAGAAGATATGCTCGACGGTTTCATCTTCTTGTTCGCATCCCCTGCAATGTGCGGATCCTGACAGCCTCATGATATGAAGATGCTTCCGAACTTGGCAATGACCAATCAGAATGCCAGTGACTAGGCACAGATTCTGTCTGGTCATAGTCAAGAATTTGTTTATTGCAGTGTTGTCAGGATAACTTAAAAGCTCCCTGACAACTCTGCAGTTTCTTGTTTAATCCAAACTTTCCTTGAATTTCACAAGGAAATGTTCTTTAAATAGGTCTGTCACTACCGATTTTGTCAGACCAATAGAAGAGGTCCAAAAGTATTTGGTTGGCTGCTTTCTTGTCCACTGAATCAGCAAGACCTTTGGATATGACGTGACCTTTGATGAATCTTAAGGTGACCACATTGTTGATGGATTCTAGAACCTACTAACCCTAAGCAAATTCGTGGTCTGTTCAGGGTGAGTAGTACTTATCTGCTATCTATCTATACAGCATGTTCCTTCCAGTGATATTGTTTCTGGTGATTTTTTTTATTGCTATGAGAATCCTCGTGAGCTCTGTTTGAACTACACTGGCACTGTAGCTCACAGCCCATTTTATGTTTAGGTTTAAGGATCTGGAGTATATTCTACATCCTGAGCCTTGTTCTGTTTTAGAAAACCGTCAGTGTAGATATTAATCGTACCTGCCACTTCCGGCCCTTCTATTTGTTCTAACTTTATATGGCTTATGGAAAATATATCAGTGAGATGGAGTCGATGTTCGCTTGAAGGAGCGGAAGCGTATCGAGCGCCTCCTGCCAAAAACGACTTCTCGCCTAACCAGGTTCTACATCAGGTTATATTCCAACCGTGTGTGAAGGCGTATCATTGTCGTCAGAGAAACTTCCTTGATGTAAATATCAAGGGGAGTGAGACTTAAGAATTACTTTCATGGCTCTGGTCGGTGTTGTTTTCATAGCTCCTGTTGTGTTGAGTCATGCTGTTCTTTGAATTTGTTCTAGTTTACCGATAGCTGTAAATTTTTAGGTTTTCGGTACCCAAACAACTGCACCGTATGTTAGCATATGTCTTATGATAACCGTGCAAGTCCATGCGACGACTCTGGGGAAGAAACCCTAGGTGCACCCCACGGTGTGGCGGCATTGTACATAAGCAATGTATGCTCTTTTGACTCTTTTTTCTAAATGAGAGTTTTATGCTGTCAATGGTGAGACCTAGGTACTTCACCTCTTTAGCAAAGTTTGGTTTTATGTTTAGGAGTTCTGAAGATTTTAATTCCATTTTCATCCTTTCCCTTGTGAAAAGGACCATTTCTGTCTTCTTGGAATTAATAGATAGTGAATGGTTCTTGCACCACTATTCTATAATTTTGAGAGCTACTTGCAATCTTTCGCAGAGTATGTTCTCAAAATTCCCTGATAGCAGAATGACCAGGTCACCTGCCTATGTTGTTGTGCAGTGACTGTCAATATTGAGGCGGCTGATGAGGGTTTTGAGGACCATGTTCCACAGTAGAGGTGAAAGCACCCTTCCCTGTGGTCATCCCCTCGCAACCAAGCCTCTTATATTCACATCTTCTACACTTTGAGAGCATGTTATGTAACCACCCACTAACCATTAGTAGAACATTCCTGTTGGTTAGAGAGTATATTATCTTGGGGAAGGTGGTTTTATCAAAAAAAAAATACCCAAGACGGACTTCTTATTGTCCAGGGATCTCTCTATCCGGCCAGCAACTAGATGAGAAACTGAATCAGTAGATCTGCCTGGGGTGTATGCATGTTGGTTTGGGTGTAGTAGTGTCATTGTAATTACCGCATCCCTTATGTACCTTTCGCATAGTCTTTCCAATGTCTTCATGGAAAACGATGTCAGACTAATTGGTCGGAGTATGTTTTTGAACAGTGTAATCCATCCTTCCAGGTTTGGGTCTGAATACCATTTTACTTCTCTCCATTTTTTGGGGATATACCTCATAGCCAACAGAGATCTGAATATATCCACCAGGTGCGGTGCCAGTTCTTCCAGACCCCACTGAAGGAGGGCTGGATAGATACCGTCAGTTCCTTGTGATTTAAATGGAGATAAGCTAGATATTGCCCATCTAATTTTGTCATTGTCTACAATGTGTTTGGCAGTTTGCCAATCCTAGACATATGGGTTTTATTCTTCCTCTGCCCAGTCGGTCACGTCTGTGATGACCAAGTGTGTTGACAGCAGAATTTTGATGATATCTTCAAGGTTGGCAGTTTTCATGCCATTCTCTTTAATTAGCGCACTAATGCTTCAGTATGGATCTTTTGAGATAGCTTTTTGAAGCCTCGCTGCCTGTGGGAAATCTTCGACTTCTTTGCAGTAGAATCTCAATGCATCTCTCTGTTTTTGTCTGACAATTTTTTTGTATTCTCTGAGGTTAGATTTGTAAGTATCCCCGTCCTCTTTGAGTTTTGTGGTTCTTGCCTTATTAAAGGATTTCCTAGCCATCTCATATAATTTAGAACGAACTTCCTTACTGGTAAATGGTTTGTTCTTTTAAATATATTTAACTGTGTATCACTTCGACACTTTATATGAAAAACATTGTAACTTGATTTTGCTTACTCAAGAGCCCTTTGAATATGTTTGTTGCTTATTTTTTATTGTAACTTTTTATTTTTTTATAGTTTTTATTTTTAAGAATCACTCTTTCATAGCTTTTCTACGCTAGGCTATAGTATTTTATTATTGAACTAGCTATTGGAAATATTATTCCAATAGAATTACAATAATGAATTTTTAAACATATTTTCGTGAAGTTCGTTGTAACTAGTTAAGTCAGTCAATGTTATTTCAACAAATATATGTATTTGATAATGTACAGGTAAATGGTAACTAATGGGAAAATTTAAAAATCTATAAGATTGTCTTAACTGTTTTTAATGAAAAGTAATTTTTAACATAAACAAGTAAGTACGCTTACTAGTTTTACGAACTCATAAATTCACATAGATAAAAAAAAAATTTGTTATTTCTTTAATAGTAAAAAAAAATACATCAAAAATCTTAAAAAATAATTATATTCCTAAAAAGAGATCTTTAAATTTTAAAGTGAATTTGGGTAGAAATTCATGATATTACTAAAGGAATTTGCTGGTCCCAGCAGGAGTCAACCAACTGAAATGAAATTTTCTATACTACTATGTTTTGTCTCGAATAAGAAATGATAACGATATGGGCAGAAATTTTTACAGGTGTACAATTTTTTAATTTAGTTTTATCAAAAAAGTAGCTATTTAAATTTGCGTTTCCGTCAGTTTGCTCTATATATTAAGTAATTAAGTAATCAGGAGCGCATTGTTGGCATGCGGGAAAGCCAGTGTATTAATACATACATTATTTTGTTTTTGACTCTACCTACTACCAAAGGAGAATTTATTCTGAATACTGTTGCCAGTAATGTGGGAATAGGAGGAGTACTTTCGCAGATTCAGGAAGTACAAGAGAGTGTACTGTGTTATTTTAGTAAAGTTCTCTCCAAACCTGAGCAAATTTACTGTGTCACGAAAAGAGAACTCTTGGCAATTATGAAGTGCGTAGAATACTTCTACCAATACCTATATGGAAGAAAATTTTTAATCCAAAATCATCATAAATGGTCAATTGCTAGATAGATTGAACGACTTCAAGAGTACGACTTTAGGATCAAACATCAAGCCGGAGTAAGCCACAGAAATGGCGAAACGTTTTTTTAGAAGACCATGTCCAACGAAATGCTCTCACTGCATCAAAGTAGAATCCAAAAAAAAGTGCATTACTAAGAACAACTGTAGTCAATGATAAGTGTGTCCCTGCTAACATTAGGGAAGAACAAGAGAACCATCCCATTTTAACGAAGAAGCGATAATGGAAAGAGGAAAATCATCTACCTACTTGGCAAGCAGTATCGAAACTATCTAGTGGTTAAGTCATATTTGGCGGCAGTCTTTTATCCTGGAAGAAGGCTTATTGAAACGAGTACTAGGAAACGATGATGGTTCTGAAAACAGTTGGTTATTCCAAAAATTAGAGTAGGCGAAGTAGGTCAGTTACATGACTGTCCATCAGAAAGGTCATCTCGGCGTTAAGAAACCCCTTTAGAGAGTTCGTGAAATATTTTATCGCATATACAGTTCCGATGATGTAATGAACTTGTGTAATAAATGTACTACCTGTCCTATGAGTAATGAACCTTATCGGAAAAAAAAACTCTCATGAAACAATACGTCGGTAGCCCATTTGAGAGGATTGCCTTATATATTGCTGGAGTGTTCTCAATGACCGAGAATGGTAATAACTACATGAAAGTGGTTATGGATTATTTCACGAAATGAATGGAAATCTACGATATTCCAAATCAAGAGACCGCAACTGTTGCAGAAGAGTTTTCAGTCAAGTTGGATTGCCCTTGGAGATCCACAGTGACCTATGCAGAAATTACCTGCAAATACCTGCAAATACCTGCCAAAAGTGGTTTTAAACCATCAGTGAGATTGAGATCAGTATCTTTCACTCTTTGAATCTTCGCAATGGCCTATAGATCTGTTGTCCTGTTTGGATGTAAGATGAGACTACCTTGCGCCCTCGAGTTTGGATGTCGACCTGAAGAACATATAGCCAGTGAAGAATATGTGATTTTTTGAATAAACATGGACGAAATGCATGAGTTACTTCGCTCGCATCTTCATATCTCCAGCGACAGGATAAAGAAACGGTACGATAGTCAAACCAGTGAAGGATGTTTCAAGGAAGGTGAGAAGGTCTGGCTCCATAACCCAACAAGATAGAAGGGTTATTCGACGAAACTCCAAAGGATTTAAGAAGGACCGTACCTCATTAAGAAATAAAATTATGTTGTCATTTACCGTATAAGCAAGATCTGAAACGTAAATCCGAAGGTAGAGAATCAAAACCGGCTAGCGCCATTTGAGGATGACCATGACCTGGAAAAAGAAGTAAACTAACTATAAGAAACTCCTAACCTTGTCTTTGAAAAATGTATGGGTGCATATGGAGGTATCGGGAAAGCAAGATATGGTGTTAAAACCTAGCAACAACAATATCTTCTTGCGCTTCCAAAGGGCTACTCGCTAGTCCATAACACTTCCGCCAGCAGCAACGACGCAAGAGGACTGGCATCTGTCTTCCGGAAAAAGGTTAGTCGATTTTCAGAACTTCAAGGTCAGTTACCAGCTCCTGGAAAAGCTTTAAAATTTAAAGATGGATCTGGTAACAAAGAACACTTGCCACAAACGATCAACTTATCATAATGTGTATGAAGCATTACTTAGTTTGGGGGAGAACATACTGGAGTCCAATGTTCAGAAACTAGCCAGGCCGAATATAGAGTGTATCCAGTTGGATTATAAGATCATTAGAAACATGGTGGAAGTAATCTCCCAAGGTACCGAAGTCCAAATACTAGTCTGCAGCCATTCACCCAGCGACCATGCTTCAGCGAAGACCGTTTCTTGTTACTTTCATGCAACTGGAAATTATAAAAGAGGATTTAGTTGCAGATACATATTTAGTTACAGTTCCAAAAAAGATATCTTGAGGAGGGACCAATGTCATGCTCGAATCCCTTGTTCCACTTTACCATTAACGCCTCCTACGCTCTTCACTTTACCCGATTATGTCAACCCCCGAAACCCCACCTTCAGGGACGACTATTGTAAGACGACTATAGACACCGCAAATTAACAGTCTGGAAGGCATTAGAATATTTGATGCATGATTCAAACTAGAATTTTTAGTTAATGCCTATTCTAGAAACTGCAGGAGCCACCAGTATAATAAATACGTGGGTCTGTCAACCTATGTAGTTTTAGTGGAATGACGTAGGACGTTCTGTCAGTTTAGTTTTCACCGAGAGATCGATGTGTGAAAATACATTGTCAGACTAAATTAGAACATAAATGTTTAATATTAATCAGTGTAGTTCTAAGTACAAATAAATTTAGTTAATAAACAAATTAGTGTTTTTACTGAATATAAATAATAACTGTTTAAAATAAACAAGTGTAAATTAAAAATTTAAAAAAACCGACTTCAAAAACGTGCAGATGCCATCACCACATCTTAACCAAATTTATATGGGATCACCCCTGAGGTACCCCCTTACTAACAAAAAAAGAATCATATAAATCGGACAAGGTGGTAAAGCATTATCGCTAAACATACATAAAAAATGAAGAGTTTGAGGATTTTCTCATGGACCCAATTTTTAGATTTTGACCAAATTTATATGGGACCACCCCTGAAGTAGCCCCTTTCTAACAAAAAAAGAATCATTGAAATCGGACACCGTGTTAATGAATAATCGCTGAACATACATAAAAAAAAAAATATCGCGACGAATTGATAACCTCCTCCTTTTTTGAAGTCGGTTAATAAACCTTACAATTATAATAAATAGTAATAGGTATAAATTAGATAATTCTACTTTCGGACACCGTTTTTCATGAAATTTAATTTAAAAATCCTTATACAGCTATGTTTTTTTTTTCAGACAAATAATAGAACATATCAAAAGTTTGGACTACACTAGACCCACGACGATAGTAGAAGCACAGAATTCAAATATTGTTGAATCGGTAAGTAAATTCATAAGAAAAGCAAAATAAATGTCAACAAAAAAAATGTACTGTTTTATTTTTTTATTTTTTAGTCATTCTATGTAGATATCATCAGTTTCAACAGATATAACGGCTGGTACAGCAACGAGGGAAACTTAGATGTGGTTACCTATTACGTAATTAAAGAAGCTCAAGCTTGGCACGACAGATTTAACAAACCGGTAATAATGCAAGAATACGGAGGAGATACGTTAGAGGGACTTCATTTTGTAAGTCTCATTAAAGTTTAATAAGTGCCTGTTTTTCCTATATCTGACAGCTAAAGGAGGGCAAAATAATCGAATAATCGATTAAATAGTCAATATTTGGTCTAGTGAAATAGTCGTCCCAAATGTAACACAACCTTGATTATATTCTGCTATTTTTGTTGTTACTAAATTTCTCGAATATTTTACAATTTAATATTAAAGTACTCTCGAGATTTAGACGCAACAAAAATAGCCGACTATTATCAAGGTCTTGGTAAATTACTCTTGATTATAATCTTGCCAACCTAAATTTGAATCTAGACATTCTTATCCCAAAAGCCCTACATTTGGTTAGTTAAGGTTTGCAGAAAAATATAATCGTAGAGCTTTCAACTAATTCAAAAAATACAGGAATGAAAAAGAAAGTATTTTATATTTATTTGTTTGGCGTTTAAAAAAATTGGAGACGTTTACTCGTTGTTACTGTCTTGGTTACATGTTTCGTAAGAAATTTTGGAAAATTTAAAATGAATTAAATTTTTGTGACAGTTTTTATGAACTACAAATTCGATTACCTTACAAGGTCGTATTTAAATTCAAAAACAAAATTTTGTTGTATAAACATTATACCAGAGTGTTTTATGCATAAAAAATACTTTTATACCTGCTCTGTGGTTGTTGAACACCTGGTGTAGTTAAATTTATTTTAGCAATTGGCTTCTTTTAAACTTTTTTTTAAATCTTCTACTAGCTCAGAGTGCATATACTTAATTGGCCCACCCTGTATAACTAAATGAATTATTTTTTTATTTCAGCTTCCTACATTTGTTTGGTCAGAAGAATATCAAGTCCGTTTAATGTCTGAACATTTTAAGGCGTTTGATCAGCTCAAGGAGAAAGGATATTTTATAGGCGAATTTATATGGAATTTTGCCGATTTTAAAACTGCTGAGAGTAAGTGTTATATAATTTTTTGCGAAATAATACATTATTAAGAACAGTTTTCAGCGATTAACCTATATAGCGATAATTAATATTTTCATATATTCTTTCCAACTTCACCCCGAGAAAACTCAAAGTTTGTAAACATTTTAAAAGGTGTTTTTAATGCTCTGTAATATCACCCGTTTCTTTTATAATGTGCCAACATTGCTACATTCTAAGCCGTAATAGATACCAAGAAATATCTGGTAAATTAACTTTTATATCGTCATTATTAAAACTAGCCACCATTAGTTACCACTATTTGGTTTTGGCTATCAACTTCCTTAGGATGCTTCTCGGGAACGAACACCAAATCTCGCATCTCCCATGATTCTGCTACTCAAGCATGAACAGCATACCTCGTTCTGTCGTTCTAGTTCTTACGTGTAACTTTTAGCTTGTTACTTTCAGCTTTTAGCTTTTAACTGTAAGTTTTCAACTGTTAGTTTTCAACTGTTAACTTTCAACTGTTAGTTTTCAGCTGCTCCTATTCGTTTTCTAAACAAAAATAAATTCTGTTTTTCACGTGGCTCTTGTATGAGATATAAATTAAATTTGAAACATCTACTTTTTAAAATTAAATCAAGATACAATAAAAACTAATTACTATAAACATTGTGCAAATCCAGCAACCAGAATGAATTATAAAAACATATTTAGAAAAATTTAACATTTACTTTCAAAAAAACTAATAACTAACAACAGGTTGGAATATTATTTCTACCGAGATATTTTTACAATGACATTATACTTTTTTTACTTGCCACTTTTACAGCCAAACACTACCAGATACTAGGAGATACCTAGTAATCATAAATGAAATTTCAAAATCTAATGGCGAAATCGTTTGATTTACTGTTCTCCCACTTCACGAAATTTCCCTTTCTTTGGAATATTGCGTGCGGCGATAATTGAATTTAAATTAATCGAATACTATTTATACACAATTAAAATAACATTTTTAACTGGAATTTTAAAATGTTACAAATGTTAAACAGGTAATATTTATTTTTGCGAAAATATGATACTAATTATCCGGATCTCCGCCAATGAATTAATTGGAAAGTTTAAAATAGACACAAAGTAAAGTAATAAAACCCCTTATTATGTGTACCAAATATCACTGGAATATCATTTGCCACTAATTAACAATATAAAGAAAACAAATCAAATTTTATTTTTTCAACACCCTGTATTTCGAAAACGAAGCGACATTCTAAAAAATTTTATACTACATTTTCGTCCTAAAATTAGGTGATTATTCTCCTCCTTCCTTTTGACAGAGGTTAGGAAACCCTGTATATTTTACTTACATACCGGTCTAAAGAAGTTTATCAATTTAAACTATCAGTTTAAATTTATATATCGATTTAGACACGAGAGATTTGAATCTATTTTATTTTACACATCTGTATCTGCAACGTGTGAAGGGTAGGTTAACCCACTGCACTTAGGGCTCACTAGGTCCATTGTGCATACTCCTAAGTATATAGACACCTCCTAATGAGTAATCCTGCAGATTTAATGCAGTTGGCAAAATGGTGAATAGGTGCTTCTTTTATATCGATCAGTGTTAGCGTATTCTTGCAGAACACAAATCTTCTAATAAATGACAGCGTCAGAAAATCGTAGATGGCATGCTCGATGATCTCATGTTCTTGTTCGCACCCCCTGCAGAGTGTGGATTCTGACAGCCCCATGATGTGGAGATGCTTCTGTACTTGGCAGTAACCAGTCAGAATACCTGTGGTCAGACGCAGATTCTGTCAATAAAGTATTTGTTTGCTGTAGTATTGTCAAGATAACTTAAAAGCTCCCTCGTAAGTCTGCAGCTTTTTGTTTCATCCCATCTTTAATTAGGTTTGTCACTAGCGATTTTGTCAGTCCGATGGAAGGGTCCAAAACGTATTTGGTTACCTGCCTTCTTGGCTTCCGCAAGACGCTTACCTTTTAATGTGGCGTGAGGTTTGATCCACTTTAAGGTGACCACATTGTTCATGGATTCTTTTTCCAGAGCTTCGTGACTTTCTAGTACCAACCCTGAGTAAATTCGTAGTCTCTCCAGGCTGAGAAGTGCTTGTCTGCTATCTGTATTCGTTTCGTGCGTGACAGCAGCGCAAATACATTTATGTACTAATGGACTATTTTTGCGTATGCTGACAATACAATTGTTAATAGATTTCGTAATTAAAAAGTATATGTGTTAGTTTTAATAAAAGTATATGGATTTCTAAAACAAGTAAAACAATAATTTATTATTAATATATATTTTTATCGCTTAAACTAAAAAAAATTAGGTATAATCAATAAAAATCAATAATAAAATATAGGCAGACAAGAGAATTTACGGAAAAATGTATGAGAAGTTGCCTAAGTCCAATAAGTTGTCTTTGAAGATAAATAAAAAAATACCATTAAATAATAGCGTAAAGTTAAAATGTATAAACAGAAGGATTGCTATTTATATTTTCATTTTTGTTCGAAAGAAAACATAGAATGAATAATTAAAACTCCATTCCTATCAGTAAGTCACAAAATTGCATTCCAACCACATACAATAATCAAAGGCAGAAATATAGTTCTTGCTAAACATTTAAGATTAAAGGAATGTTGAAGAACATCATAAAAAGATAATTTATTATTTATTTAAAACCTTTCAAATTTCTGATGTCTACTATTTCCAATATTACTGTTATTATTACAAAAGTAACGGTAATTTTTCTTCTTATTGTATACCAATCCATTTATTTTTTTGATTTAATTTCCACTTTGCTACTGAAAATTTTTATAATTTACACTATTGTTTTGCTAGTATTTTTACAATTTTCAACACAGCAACTCCGGTTGTATTTTTTTACCTACTTTTTGATAAAAAAGTAAAATGTATACGTGTATTTGATATGCCAAAATTTCAAAATATCGCTCTAAAATGCACGAATTATTCACAGCTAGCGCTAGTATCGCTTTTGCTTCCCCTACCATGACTTCACACTGAACGAATAGATGAGCATGTTCCTTCCACTGATATTATTTCTGATGATTTCTTTTGCTGCTACAATAATTCCCGTGAGCTCAGTTTGAACTACGCTAGCACTATTGCTCACAGTCAATTTTATGTTTAGGTTTAAGGATCTGGAGTATATTTCACATCCCGAGCCTTGTTTTGTTTTAGAACACTCGATGTAGATATGAATCATACCTGTCACTTCCGGCGCTTCTATTTGTTCTGTTATCACTTTGTATGGCTTATGAAAGATATATCTCGGTAAGATGGAGTCTTTGTGCGCTTGAAGCAGTAGGAACATATCCAGCGTCTCCTAAGAATGACCTCCATGGCTCTGGTCGGTGTGGTTTTCATAGCTCCTGGCTCTTTGAATTTGTTCTAGTTTACGGATAACTGTAAATTTTTGGTTTTTTGGTACCCACACAACTGCACCGTACATTAGCATACCATCATAGCCATGTAAGTCCATGCGACGAATTTGGGGGAGAGACCCCAGGTCCGCCCCACGAATCGACGGCATTGTTCATGAGCAATGTATGCTTTTTTTACTCTATTTTATACTCTTTTATAGATAAAAATAAAATATTCTACAATTTTCCTCAACCGATGTTTTGGAGATAGTAAAAGTACCAGAATAATAGCCTAACATTTATTGCCAAACGAAAATGAAATAAATCTAAGAGCATAAGACATAACACTAATAAGATAGTTTTGTTTAAAGGACGATCAATTTTTCTTTTTTAAAAACATTTTTTCCCATTTTATTTTGATTCAATCTTTAAAAAATGCATTGCCTATTTATATGACCCTAGTTTAAAAAAAACTATTTTCAAACTATGTTAAAATTCCTATAATTTTAGAGAGTCAGGACCTGGCGAGGCATCTATATTGTTACGACTCTAAGCCACGCCTAGAGCGACGTTTTTATCTCTGTGCCGCAGTTTATAACTAAAGAATCAGTTCGCTCACTCTGCCTCGGAACTTTTGATCTCAAAGTTCCAGTTTAACATTGCGCAACTCGGATTTGTATCCCTGGCGCATATAGAATCAAATTATAATAACCCAAGAGCCCACTGCAAATTTTTACGGTCATCTTATAACGAAATGAAATATACCCCAAAAGCATGTAAAAACATTTTACTTTACCAAATGGCATCTGTGCCAACCAATCCTGAGCAAAACGGTTAAAAAAAATTATTTTTTCTTGAAAAAATCACATAAGGCATTACAGCGCTAATTTTGTTTGCTCTTGAAAGTTTTCCAGAAAATAACATATTCAAATATATCTTGATATACATCGTTAAAGGGAAACATTTTCTTCCTCTTAACATAGCACAAAAACATCTATCCACGATTAGTAAGTAAAAATCATTAAAAATTGAATCAATTTTTGCCATAGAAACGACAAACCTTTCACACATACACATGGTTTAAAAGGTAGGTAAATTATTAATAATTCAGGTTTAAAAGCTAGATTCACAATGAATTAAGATTGCAATTTTCAGGGAAAACACAATTGTCGCCGTCATGTCTTATGTGATTTTTTGAATATAAAATAATTTTTTCTAACCACTTTGCTCAGGATAAAAATTGGCACAGGTGCAATTTGGTAAAGTACAATGTTGTTACATGTCTTTGGAGCATATTTCATTTCGTTATCAGATGACGGTCAAAATACTCAGTGGGCTCTCTTACTATAATCAGTACAATATGGCAACTGCTATTCAAACAGCAGTCTTCTGGAGTGGATGTTATTTTGGAACATCCAATTGGTCCGAGTGAGCTAACTGATTCTTTAGCTATAAACTGTATCTGTGCCAAATAATACTTATAACACCTCTTTATAATATTACCACTATGATTATTTTAGACTAATCGATTACCCGAATTATCGATTATCCGTTAATTGATTATATTATTTTTGTAGCATATACAAGAGTTGGAGGAAATAAAAAGGGAATTTTCACTAGACAACGACAACCCAAAGCTAGTGCACATCACCTAAGAAGACGATATTGGGGATTAGCCAAGGACTATAATGGTAATATTTCCCTACCAAATGATCTCGAATATTATTACATTAAACAAGACTCTCATATTCATTCTGAACTGTGATTATAAACCTTTTTATAGAATTTTAAGTAAATAAAATAAAATATATTGTAGCTTTTGTTTTCACCATCACTTCCCACACAGCACAAATAGGTCAATTGAACGTCCCTTCGATATACATTTTTGAATGTCTGGACATCCAAAAAGAGTTGTTTCTGGACTTTTTATATCCAATGGACGTCCAGTGAAGTATACAAATGGCACATTTTTGACCATTCAGAAGAGAGAGAGAGAGAGAGAGAGAGATATGCTTTATTGTCGTAAAAAAATTTACAAAAATTTTATAGACAAAGCGTGTAACTTAAATACTAAACATATTATAAAAATAACTAAACAGCAGAAAAAACAAACAGAAACAAACAGACAAAATAGGAATAACAATTGCAATGGATATGCAATATCCGTCATTATAATTATTCTAATTTAATTTTTAAATTTAAATTTAAATTTAAACTTTAATATTTAATTATTTAATTAATGCCATTGTATGTGGAACTCAAATGTCTAAGGTACGTTATAAAATTCTGCTACTGTGTAATATGGTCTTTCTAGAAGAAAAGCTTTAGCCAGTCTTCGGAACTTATCGTATGTATTTATAGATTTTAATTGCATCGGAAGGTTATTATACAATTTTTTGGCATTGTAGGTAATGGAATGTTTTAATAGGTCAGAAGTGGGCATTGTTAAATAAACATCAGTCTCTAAATTTCTTGTAGGATATCTACGAGTCGGTCTTTCGGATAAATTTTGAATGTGCTTGCGAACTAAGCAGACGGATTCGAAAATAAATAGAGCAGGAAGGGTTAGAATTTTGAAATTTTTGAAGTAATTTTCGCAATGTGTCCTACTACTTAAACCAAATACATAGCGGATTGCTCTTTTTTGCAGTTTAAAAATAGATTCGAAAAGGTATAAGCTACAAGAACCCCAGAAAGGTAAACCATAGCGAAGGTGAGATTCGAATAAGGAAAAGTAGGTTATTAATGCAGTAGAAGGAGTCAGCTCTTTAGAAACCGATTTAATGGCAAAACATGCAGAGGATAATTTTTTTGCTAAGGTGCAGACCATTTTAGAGAATCGTCTATATAAAGACCTAAAAACTTGATTGAAGTCACCGTTTGGATCAGATTATTGTTTAAAGTTATAGGTTGTAAAGTACCTCTGTAAGACAATGCTACAGTTTTACTGGTGTTGAAACAAAGTCCATTCGAATCAGACCAGGACTTAATAGTCACTAGATCTTCACTTATGATAGATTGTAATGTCTGCATGTTAGAATTATTCCAGGTTACACTGGTGTCATCAGCAAATAAAGTAATTCTACCACTTATTCTTAAGTCTGTGCTGTCGTTGATGAATAATAAAAACAAAATTGGACCTAATACTGATCCTTGAGTTACTCCACTGCTTATTGCTAGATTTGTAGAATCCTCACCATTCGCCCGCACCTGTTGATTTCTATTTTCTAGGTAAGTTTTAAACCATTGTAAAGGAGAACCCCGTATGTCATAGATTTGTAACTTATTAATTAAAATATCAAGATTTACACAATCGAAGGCCTTTGCGAAGTCACAAAATACTGAAGCGGTGAAAAGTTTATCATTAAGTGATGTGTATATTTCATTAAGAACGGAAAACATTGCGTCGCTAGTGCATTTTTTAGGTAGAAAGCCATATTGATGAGCTGTGAGGATGTTATGCTTGAAAAGAAAGGGCAAAAGACGGTTTTTCATTAGCCGTTCTACTATCTTCGATAAGGTAGGCAATAACGCGATAGGTCTATAGTTACAGGTTTTGGTTTTGTCGCCACCTTTATGAAGTGGGATTATTATAGCTGTTTTTAGACAGTTAGGAAAGAGACCAATTTCAAAGGATTCATTAATCAGTGAAGTTAAAATGTCCGGTATATTTAGAAATATTTTGGTGGACAGGCCATCAATTCCACAGGAAAATTTATTTTGGATGTTGTTTATGGTTTGCACTAGTTCATGCTTGTCTACTGGTCTTAGGAAGAAACTTTCAGTGATCCTTTTAGTAGGTAGGAGGAAGGAGAGAGCATCCTGACTCGGAGCTATGTTAGATTTGATATTTTTACTTACATTTACGAAATAATTGTTTAGTTCATCTGGGCTAGGATTTACACTGTTTGAAGAACGGGTTTTATTCCTTAAGTCATTTATTATAGACCAGGTTTCTTTGGAGGAGTTTTTAGCTCTTGCGATGCGATTTTTGTAATAGTTTTTCTTAGCAGATTTGGTGATTTTCCGATACAATATTCTGTAGTTGTTGATATAGTTTAATATTAGGGGATTATCTGTGTACTTTTTAATATACATGAGTGACCTCATATTTTTAGATGATGTTCTTATTCCTTTAGTTGTCGAAGATTTATGACATTTAGTTTTAATGGGGTGAAGGGGGAAAGCTGTATTGAAACACATAATTATTTTATTTAAGAAGTCTAAAAATTTAGAGTCAATATCTTCAGAAAGACCATTCCAATCAGTAGTTAGACATAAATTATAGAAATTTTTGAAATTATGCTTAGAGAAAATTCTACCTAGCTGACGGACTTTTTTTGGAGCTGTGCGGGGTATCAAAAATTTGGCAAATACTGCTTCGTGGTCTGAGAGACCTGAGCTAATTACTTGGTGCTCTATATCAACGGGTTTAAAATCAGAGACTACGTAATCTATAATTGTAGATGTTGTTTCTGTGATTCTAGTTGGAGAATTTACGTGCATAGTGAGACTGAATGATTCAAAAATATTGATCAAAGACTTTTGAGTAGCACATACATTAGCAAAGTCAATATTAAAATCGCCGCATAAAATTTTCTTACTTTTTATAGGCAATGCGTCAAGTAGATTAAGAAGAAAGAGGTGAACATTTGATTTAGGTGTTCTATAAATACAAATAATAAACAAATCAATGTTTTTGTTGTTTACAATGGAAAATTCGAAGAAATTTTCAGCTTGTAGAAAGTCGTATTTAGATACAGCAGAAAAGTCCTTGTCTAAGGATAAAATTAGAGTTCCACCATGGTCTGTATTACTTCTATCATATCTGCTGACGATAGTATATTTTTCGACAAAAACTGGTTCACCAACTTGTAACCAGTGTTCTGTAATAGCAACTATTTGGGGAAACCCTAACTCTTCCAAAAACAAATACAATTCATCAGTCTTATTCCGTATTGATCGAATATTAATTAGAACCATTCTTAATTTACTGTCGGCATAGCCAGTAAGACTAGTTGGGGATTCTAGTTCCCCAGGACACGTCGTATTAATTAAACATTTTTCCTAGGTGAATTGGCAGTAAAATAACGATGATTGTACTCCCTTTGCTTCTGCAGGTGTATTCTTCGTTCCGCGGATATATATGCTCTGTAGGTAGAGAGATCGTTATCCACTTCAGCTGAGCCAATACCATATAGATCATGATAATCATAATAAATGGTCCGTAAAGCTCCAGGATCAACAGGCAGTCCCTCAGAGGCTAGAAACACTTTTACACTTGTGTTCGTGTAGCCCTCATGACAGACAGATGATGGTTGGTCATGAAGATAGGCGAGGAAGAGCTTGAGGGACGATAAAATAGCCGGTTCTCTTAGTCTAGCCATCAAATAACGACCATTGCCGATACACGATTTTTTTGTTAGTCGGACTCTAGGAGGAGTCAACGGGTCCAGCGAGTTATTTGTGTTGTCTTGTGATTCTGCTATGATCTGTAAGGACTTACCATAGGAGAAGTTGTTGGATTTACAAGCTGAGATAGCATGTTTGTCGGAAGAGATGGTCAATACTTCAGGTTGATTTGGGCATATACTTTTACTTAAAGAATAATCCAAATCAGCAAGGGTTTTGTGATTATTCTGTTTCTGCTGCGGAGTGTACGTTGGAGTCAAAGTCTTAGGGGGAGTCGAAGCCTTTGGAGGAGTCGAAGCCTTTGGAGTAGTCGAAGCCTTTGGGGAAGTAGATGTCATCGGGAGAATCGATGCCTTAGGGGGAGTCGATGTCTTAGGGTAAGTCGAAGCCTTAGGGAGAGCGGAGGATTCGACTGACCATTGAACTGAGACTGCAGCCGGCCAGATATTGTTGTTTAATAGTTTTTGTGCGGAATTTCTTGACTGCAGCCCTATTTTAAATGTTGTTTCCTTAGATTCATTATTCTCATTGATCAAGGGGTAGCAACGAATAAACTCACTAGAACATAATTTTTCCTTGATGTAATGCACAACGTGATTTAGAGTAGATCCTGAAGGAAGATTGCTAACTACTACGTAATGCCACTTTTGATTAAGACTACAGACTGGAGCTTTAGAATCTTCTAAGGTATTGGACGCTTCAGGAGTCGTTATGGCTTCAGGAGTCGTTATGGTTTGCGTAGAAGACGATGTGGTGTAGATAGATTGTCTTTTTGTAGGTTGATTATTTTGTTTATTTGACACAATTTTGGAGTTTAACTCCTGAACTAGGCTTGAAACATTTGTTAGTTTTTTTTCCAAGCTTTCGATCCCCATTTTAATTTCTGGGGCTGAAGTGTTCTGTACATTTATTTTTATTGTCTCTTCGGTATTATTTAAGAAGATTGAAGAAATATTAAATATATTCTGTTCCATTTCCCTTAATGATTTCTGCAATAGATCTGGCTTAAATATGGTAAATACTTCTGAGATTTTATGAATTTCGTCGATTTTCTTTTCCAAAAGACTCCATCTGTTTTCGTTTTTTAATAAAATATCGTACATCTCTGAAATAGTTGGTACGCTATTTGTTAGTTGATTCATACGATTAGCAAGCGAGTCAAAAATCTCATGGGGGATCTGGTTCTTTGATATATTAGAAATTTTATTATTAAGGTATCTTAAATTTGGAGAGTCACAGAGGGTACAGAAGAATCGTATGTGAATAAATTTCTGTAATATTAAGATTTTTGTAGTAGCTTTATCCAGGCCAGTACAGTTCATACAAAAAGAACGTCGACAATCACCATTGCAGCGAAGTTTATTATATTTGTCTTTTTCAGAAAATTCCTTAAGACAGTTGTCA